GGGGGGGGTAATAAGCAAAAGTAGTCACCGTTCACATCAGCAAAAGTTGCAGCCCATCTTACGATGGACTTGCGGAAAAGTCTGTGCTCAGATGTTTGACTGTTGTTTGTGACTATTATTTTTACTTAGGTGTTTGGTTTGTGACTTTTCCCTCCTGCCTTTCCTCCTCTTTAGTTTTACTTCTCCTTTACTAAGTCCACCAACGTCTGTGGCGTAGCGGTAAGACGCTTCGCTTCGCCGTCGCTCACAGAAAACCTAAGCTCAGTTCGTGTGTGGGTAGATATCTTGTTGAGTATCTCGGTCTTTCTGCTGAACTTTGTGTCCCTCTCCCCGGGGGGGGGGGGGTGTAGGGATAGGGGGGGGGGGGGGGGGGGGGGGAGATATATTATGATTTTTATCGAGTATCTCGATCCTTGTTCTGGAACGTTGCTGCAATGCATCCCTCGGGGGGGGGGGTGGTCCTGACAGGCAAAGCCGAAGCAGCGCGCATCCGGAATGATCTAAATAGTATTGATAAGGGCGTAAAATCTTACCGTTACATTTTTTAAAGCAAACCCAGTCCCTGTCTTCCGAACTCCTCATTTAAGCGTGTAGAAGGGTCGGGATACAGAAACTTGTAAAACTCTATTACTTTTAAGGCCAGATTAGATTCATACTTGTATGTGTCCGAACGTAATTCGGCAGGGGTTCCATGCAAAATGAAGGATTGAATACAAATGGCCCTATAATATTGTAAACGTGCGACTGGTCTTGCCCTTGACATAGTTTGATTCGTGTCATAGTCTGCTGGGCACAGCTAGCCGACGATCGTCACTCTGGAGTTTGCTATGCATAACACGACGTTGCGATTTTAAAAAAAGAAAGGATTGAGAAAAGTCTTCTTTTCTCGGAGGCTTTTAGGCGCCTTTTAGATTAACTCTTTTTGTGCCACGGTTTATTCTCACGAAGTAAAACATCCTATTTTCAGACAGTACTGGTATGTTATGAAAAGAGGTAATTATACACATGGCTTGTGGACAATGAGTTGTTGTTGGTTTCTCTGTGTTGATGGTTGATGACCGCCGTGGTGCGCTCTTCCATTTCATTCTCTCTCTCTCTCTCTCTCTCTCTCTCTCTCTCTCTCTCTCTCTCTCTCTCTCTCACACACATTAACCGGCCTCTTAGCCATCATAAACTAACATTCAGCAACACGTTTTGGGGAAATGTTACCCAACCTATATTAGAACTGATCTGTAAATAGGAGACTGGGTTTGGCTTGATCAATCGCGGCATTTTGGCATTAAACGTATCAACTAAAACGTTTGGTTTACTGCCAAATTCTCTGTAACGACTTACTCTTTAGGGAGGAAGTGGACACTTATGTCCGATCAGCAGTAGATCAAAGGCAATGTAGCGGCGCATTTCGAGTCATCAGTCACATAGAAGTAAAACACAAGAACAAGAATTATTAGCATATTTTCAGATAAAGAAACAGAATTGAAAAATCTGTATGTACAACGAAGTTGTACTTTTTCTGTAAAGTGCCCTCCTAAAACAGCGCGCCATCGGTGAGTTAATGTTAACATTCAAGTGTGGGTAAAGCAAACTCAGTAATGTGATGTAAAATGTCAGCCCAGATCAAGAACGTCTCTCTTATTTACCCACATGATTTAAAAATCCGCTGGAGAAAGGCCGTGAAGCAAGGTTCCTAGCTTCTCGCTCGTAGATTTGTATAATTAAAATTTGGCACGTCTTTACTCTGGCGTATTTTAGTAATTTTACCCCCTCTTTACCGGGCTACAGCTTTCTCCTGATATCCGGGGTATCATTCCGCCTTGCATTCGTGGTTAACCGGGTGGTTGATGAACACTTTGGTGTTGGTTGCCTTTTTCTACTTTTCAGTGTCACTTTTGACCTTCCTGGCCCTTGGGTAACTTTGTTGATGATACTAATGATAGTGTCATAAAATCCTGGTTCACTCCAGCTCGGACACAGTTTTCCACCGTGTCTTGTTGTCGTGAATACGCGTGTTTCGGTTTTGTTTAAAGGGGGGGGGGGGGGCTCTTTCAAGTACAGGAACAGAATAAGGAAAGTTCACCTTTATCCTGGGAGTTCTGATATAGTTTTGCTCGGCCAGATCCTGCTAATGGTCAAATGGAATTGCTACATGAAGACATTATACGTCTTCACCAAAGAAAAAGTAATCAGTTTCTGTCTCTAGTGACCACTCTCCTCGCCACACATAATAGATAGGACCAGCGCCAATGGCTTCATCATGTAGCTCGACCGTTCTATTCTGACCGATAGCCGCTCTTGATTAGCCCTTTGGATGGAGCATAATTTATGCTGTCGTTTCATTCTCAGCCCAAAGGTTTTTTTTCGGGGTTTTT